TCATAATATTAACATTTACGTCATTTTATCTTCTTAAATTTGTATGCACTGCATGTTCGCTGCTTCTTCTGCCATGATTCTGGAGTTCGTGTATTTTTCAGACAGTTCGTGTAGTCAATATTCATGCAGCCCTCTTGACAAGGTATTTATTCCTGAAGGGCCACCTCAAGAGCAGGGGCCGGGCCATTCTCATCCCCCGCAGAGAACGCGTTTCCCCATCAACACCCTGTTGCTCCACACGACGAGGACTAATTTTGCCATTACTCTAATGGTTAGTAAACGGACCGGCAGTTGTGATTGCGCCCCATTTCACGGCCACGCTTCCCGACAGGTAAACACAGATTTCAGGTCAGCCGTGCTGTAAGGGTTTGTAGCGGCTCAGGGAGGATTAGGTTTCCTGAACAGTCACCTGCCGACGAAAGCGGCGAGGAATTAGGACAAACACCGCAAACCAAGAGAGCCACACCTCGCGTTTCGTGGCTTACCGAAACTCAACAAACACACATATGCACACACAGATCTGATGTAGAGCTCGGACAATAAACTTTTACAATAGGTCTCGGCGCTCTGAGCAGCAGCCAGAGAGGACGCGGAGACGTGACACCGTCAAACATCCAGCACTCCGGGAACGCGGGCTGCCCTCCTGGAAAAGTGCCGGGGGTTGCTACACTCAGAGAACACGAGGCTACAGGAGGCGAAGAACTGACGGGACTTCCATTGTAAGAAACACAGCTGGGCTCGTTCACACTTACCTTGAGCTGCAAGCAGGACCGCTACTGCCACCAGCCAAGCGTTTCTCATCGGATACACCGGGCAGCGCGCTGCGTAATCTCTCGCCATTCTTATACACAGGAGATAAGGTGGACGTAATATCCACAACAGCGCCGTGCGTTTCAGCCGGGCTCCAAATTATTCCTTCTCCGATCAACCAAGAAACTTCGAGCTCAGTTCAGACCGCCCGCGCTGAAAGCAGCCAAGTTACAGCTTCTCTGTGCTCCTGCCGCTCCGAGCGTGCCTCTCCTCAGTCTGGACCGTGATTAGTTTCTCTGTCCTTTGCTTTAATTCTGTTAATGACAGGAAGAGTCAGAGCCCTCCCCACGTGGACCGGCCGCAGTGCGCAGGCAGCCGGCGGCTGTGTTTTTGTGCCGGCGCGTCTTGTGCAAGGCGAGCGGAGCGAAATGGAAACAAAGTGTGGACGGAGTGTGTGTGAGAGTGCCGGAGCTCCGTGTGTCTGATGCGGAGAGCTGAGTGGGGGAATATCAAAGTGATGTCAGCAGAGCGTCACCAAGAGGACTTCAGCCGCAATACTGAACCCTCACATCCACAGACGCACAATCCGAGCGCGGTGCAGTTTAAAAGGTTAGAAATACAGAAGGGACGCGTCTGCATACCTGTGCTGTGAGCTCCGGGTGTGTTCTGCTGACACCTGCCGCTTGTTTGTGTATACGTGCGCGCGCGCGCGTGTGTGTTGGAGCACATTTTCACAGTTGGAGATGGAGCATCGTCCTGATACTAACATAGAATCTTTTAAGCAGTTAAATATTTTAATTTCATGCTTATAATATTTTTTTATTTGTTTCTGTTTCACTTTTCAGCGAAGATCCCGTGCTTTCCCCAGAGCTGCCGCTTATTCACACGGTTACTGGTTATTTCCGGATTTCCCACATATGACTATATCAACTAGTGTTGGGGAACTACTTAAAATCCAATCGCACCTTTTTATTTAGGGCAAAAACAAGTAGCCTTTCATACTCTACAAGCAGGGTCCTTAAATTGAAGTCCAAAGGCTTCTGGGTAATATTTTCTGCAACCCTTAATCGTGTGGAGGTTACATTACTGTACATTTATTTCATCCACAGTTCTTGTTATTTTCTGAACAAATGTCCTACAAACTCTGAGTGTTTTAGGTCTGCGTTTTCCCCCAACTCTCTGTAACATACTTCATGTGTAACCGGTGTGATTCTGCGTTGTGTCTGATAAAAAAGGTAAAAGAAAGAAAGGCCTCCAAGTAAATCATTTGCCCACTCCAGCTCCTCTCCCACAGGGGAATTGTAGAAAAGGGCTGGCATTTATTTTTACATTAAACATAAAGTATGGATTGACACATAACATATTTGACATAAGATAAAACAAAAACAACAACACAAAATCCGACATACCTGATAATGAACACAACTACAGGCTTGGAGGTCCTAAAAGTCAGGTATAAAAGGAACAGTTTGGGGGTTTAGAACACATTTTGTGTCATTATAACAATGTGATTTATGACCCTGTTACACATGCACTCAACCATCAGAAGTTCGAGCTCTCATGCACTCAAGGTAAATCTTTGATAGCAAATTTCCCTTTATGGAAGAGACCATCTATAACATTTAATTGTTGCTTTTTGGATTGTATTAATAATTACATGATCTATGATAACAGCTTTTGTTATACTAATTTTAACAGACCACCTGTATTCCCATATTTTCTACTACAGATTAATCAGTTTGTTCATCGTGTAGAAACAAATGAAATGATGAAAATGTTTGCAATGAAAGCAGTGTCTTCACATCGGTTACTCCGTCTGAGCAGCCAAGAAATCATCAAAGTCATTTATTAAAATCACAGAAAAGCTTTGTCAGCAAATGGTAACTGAAGCTGGTTATCGTGGATCAAAGTCATTATTGACTTCTTCCCTTCGATTAGTGATAAATCATCTGACTATGTGAGTGAGGAATATAGTAAACAGTAGACATCGCCAAGGGGGGTTTAGTGTGTCTGTTATGAATCAATAAAGGTCATATTGTTCACATCAGATGCGATGTCTCCGTGGACTTCACAGAATGCTTATTGTAATGGTTTTCTAGCCAAAGGTTTCTAAGAACTGAGGGAAAGCAGGTGCTCAGCTCACAGGGGAAGCCTTGTTGAAGGCTTTCCAAAGAGAGACAAACCCTTCTGTAGTTGGAAGAGTCATCCTTCTACAACTACACAAGGTGACCCCCCCCCAAAGAGAATGTAAACAGATATTGATATGTTAAAATAATAATAATAATGCAGCACAAATCCAATATTCCAGAAGATTAAAGAGAATGTGAAATGTATATAAGTGTGATATCCCATCATTATGGTTCAAAAGAAGACAAAAATATTAAAAGAAACATCTCAAGGAAACATCAAAGAGATTATGATCTACTATTAATGCAAATGCAAACCATCAAATGGAGAAAACTAAACTTTCAAATCCAGATTTCAATTTATAGAATGCAGATTTTTGCTGTTTTATTTTCTCAGGTGTATTTTTAATGATATCTGATGTTAAACATATTCATTTAGCTTCTTTTTTGGTTGTCGTAGTGTTTGTAAGTCCCAAAGTACTGCGCAGCAACAATTTGACTTCTAGAAAAGCTTTGGAAACAACTCAAAGCTCCATCGTCTGCATAAACAGTCAGATTTCCGCTTTATATGATGTATTTTGTTTCTTTGTCCAAAAGAACTACAAAAGAAATTGCACACATAAATTCAGGTTTGCAACACGCACGAAAAAGTCGTAAGGGATTGCAGCGGTGGGGGTTAAGTCTCTCTAGATGGATGCCGTCATTTACTTTGTTGTCCCTTCCACAGAAACAGTGATGCTGAGGGTTTTTTTAAAGACAGAAATGGTTCTCCGCCACACACAGAGGACGTTTGCCTGTCTGTTTAAGACGATAAGGACCATCTTTGAAGTCCACTGCAGTGCTTTTTAAAGTTTCTGCTGAAATAAGTTGTACCAGCAGATTGACTGAGAAAGTTACTATTCACAGCAACACACTGTAGAGGCGAAGCTCAATTAACTGTGTGATTGAGTCATAACTCCAAAACACTGCAGTGGGAAATATTTCTAATGCTGTTTGTGTTTTAGAGTGATTTAAAATAAAACACTATCCAATATAAAATCTTTAGTTTATGCCAGTGAATAATACAGGTGACTGTTTATTCACACATTGGATGGCTAGATGGAATAATTATAACATCAATTAACATCAATTCAGTTGTTTCACAAACAGACAGTTCAACTAAATTACTTTAGTCATTTAAGTTGTAAATAAACTTGTAAATAAAAGTCTGCCTCTTGGATTTGCAACCCTAGCACGTTGGAAGTGATTCATGTGGCACGCAGACAGGACATGCTGAAAGTTTTGCAGGTAATGTGAGAACCGGTTTTCTGTAAAACGCACAAGTGGGGTAGATTAGTAATCAGATTTGCCTTTGATGTCTTTGTGTTTGTCTGATCCCTTAAGTGTACTTTTAAAATGCTGTTCAAATATCAGGTTACATTTGTACGTACCCACCAAATCAGTGTTTTTCATATGACGTAAATGAAAGCAGCTACCTCTAAATAATCAGGGTTTTGATTTCAATTCAATTCAATTCAATTTTATTTATATAGCGCCAAATCACAACAAAAGTCGCCTCAAGGCGCTTCATAGATACAGAGAAAAACCCAA